ATCATTGTGATACTTGCATCCAGGGCCCTCATGACAATCCTGTCCTTTGTTCATATCATAATGGCATCCTTTGAGAAGTTGAGGACCAAGAAGATCTTGGAAGTTGTTGTTCTCGTTGTTTTATTATAGGATATCATGTTGGTCCAGTGTTGAGACAGCCATCAGTGTTTACATATTCATATGCATTGTTCCCAGAGTATCCTCTACCTCACATACCTGTCTCTTGCTCTCTCCTAAAGGGCAGCACTCTACTCTCCAGCTCTGATTCACTCCCACCTTATTTGATTGATAGTTCTTGTCCTAATGTGTTCTATACCCCACCTCCTATAGACGTTAAGCTTGTTTGAGCAGGGTCCTCTTCAACCTATTGTTCCTGTAAGTTTTCTTGTAATTGTCCTATTTATAGTTAAATCCCCCCCTCTCATAATATTGTAAAGCGCTACGGAATCCGTTGTCGCTATATAAATGGCAATAATAATAATAATCAGTACACCCACAGTGCTCCTAAAGTTCATTGGAATCTACTTACACATTACTTGTAGTATCACATTCTACACTTTTTAGTAGGGACAGGCCCTACTTTGACATAAATCCCATTGTCCTTCTTTCCTATAATAATAGCACTCTTTTGTAGGAGATCCATGTTGTTGGTGTGTTTGAGTGTATAACAGAGCTACACAGCAATAATACAGTATTGTGTCTTTAAACTACAATAAATTTGCTCACCAATCAGTCTGTGTAAATAAGATAGACTGTTCTTGTTATAAATTATAATCTAGTTGCATAAATTGTTATTAGTAAGTCACTTAAAATTTCTCAGAAGCCCCTAAAAACCCTGTCACTCTCTCTTAAAATTAAAGTGTTCCTCTTTGTCCTTTGAAGTGTTGGGAACTATGGAGCTAACTAACAAAATCTTTAACAGGCTCCAAAGTAGGTGCAGTCGGTTCTACTGTTGAGAATGCTGTTTAGAACAGATTGGGCAGTTGTGGAAATGATGATGCTCTTCATTTATCTCTGAAAGAAACAATTATGGTTCTTTCCCTCAATTGGCAGTTATTATAATGGGATTTGTGCCCATCAGGACACGATTGGCTGTAGTTTGGTGATGTTGAAAAGAGAAGAACTAGCACATAGTTAAAACCTAGTCTCTAAAATGTCAGAATTTCCTCACTGAATTAGACCTAAAGTCCCCAGTATCTGAAGAAAACCCGGGCGCA